CTTTCCTTCCAGTTGGCAAATGGCTCCTGCGCTTCCGCCCACTGGAACCAACCCAACGCACGCCCTTCTAAACAAGCCGACGCCGCCAACACCTTCTCGTTCTCCTCCACATCGTTAATCGACAAGTATTGTTCGGCTTGGAATAGCCAGCCATATGGGTCCTCACCGGTGAAGATGGGCAACTAAAGTCTCCTCCCACAGTGCTCAACTTGGCCTCGCCGAGCTGGAGACTCCTGACGGTCCTCACGCTCCCGCTCCCTGTCTCTGTCCCTTGCTCCTGGTCGTGGAGCTGGCTCACGTTCTCCTCCAAAGTGATGTCCTAGGAGAGCTTCCACGCGCGCCATCGCATCTTGCACCCGCTCTACTTGTTCGGCCAGGATTGTCACGTCTTCTTGCAGCCTAGGAACCGGATCGACCATAGCTCTGAGTAGTCGCACCGTTTCCTGGAGATCTCCCAAACGTCGCTCCACGTCCGTCGCCCGATCTGGACACAACTCAGCTGGAAGGTTGGCCATGGACCGATGCTCTGATACCAACTAATAGGTACCTACCCTGCCTCAATCAAGATAATGAAAATTAACACTTGGAATTTGAATGAAAATACCTAGAAAGATGGGTTCTGGTTCCTTTTATTGATGAACACTCCTCTATTCCACAGTTACAGAGAAGTATGACAGAAAACAAACACCAAAGGAAAAGAAAGATATAATTGAGAGCATTCGAGGTCTCTCCCCCTCCCAGACCAACACTAACTTTTCAAAAGATTCGATGCCTTCCCTTGCGCACCACCCCTCCCCTATATTTCCTCTCTAACAAACTCCTATAACGGAATTGCCAACTCAGCAGCGTCACTAGCCCTGACCACGTCACTTGTCTTTCCCTTTTTACCCCTTCTAGTATAAGTAAATCTCAAAGGAGGCCTGGGCAGGGTTCTATCAAGAAATTTATCGGATATAGAATAGAGAGATGCAATACGTTGAGGTAAACTTTGTCTTTCTGTTGTCTTTAGTAATATCGCACTTGCTCATATTGAGCTTTAGAAAATTTATAGGTCTCTCTATGTCATTATCCCTTGATTCCTAGCAACTACCTGAGGTAATTCTTATTTGTGTTTGCACAAGGAAGCACTAGGTGCATCTTTTAGGTTTTGTAGAACTGACTCATTTGGTTAATGTTTAGGCGTTTGGAGAATGGAGCTAAGTGGAAATTAGGATATAATGACTTTGTTTGTGTTACTGTTGCCCTTTTCTGATGATAAAGGAACCGAATGAAACTTGAAAGTTGGACTTTGATATTTTTATAGAGAAGCATACCCTGATATTAATATAGAGATATTAATATAGAACATGGAACTCTAAACTTATCATGTATTTTTGCATTCGATAACATCTCTCTTACTGAAACCAAGGTACAGAAAATTTGTGGGTCTTTGTTTCTCATTCTGCATTGATTCCTAGTTCCTACCTGATTAAGATTTTTAAGTATTAGTATTTAGTTATCCGATTCTATTATGTCATTTTCATTGTGGTTTTTTTGGTAAACAAAAACACGATTCAAGGTTAATCCAAGCTCATAAGTTACTTCTCGAGCTATTTCAACGGCCAACACCAAGTGCAAGATTCTGTTCAATTAATAAATGTTGTGAATAGAAAATTGTTTGTAAGCAAACACAACCTTTTGAGGATGTCATTTAAGGGGGAAAAAGAAGATAAAAAGATTCCTCTGCATGTAAGTATGAAAACCCGTTAAAGAAGTAAACTGCTAGAGATGTCGAATTCAGAGACAAGTATAACTGTTTCATTAGTTCTTTTGATTAATGATCTTGGGCAGTTGCTTAAAGCACCTTCCCTACCCCCTTCGATTGCCTCCCTTTTAACTGCAGCTATGATAGAGTTTCCACCTTTTGAGCATTGAAAAGTTTTGCTATGTTAGGTTTGTCTGCGAACCCAGCGTATGCATTTATATAACATCAGTTATCCATCATATCCAATTATATGATTAAGTCTTGTGTATATGGTAATAATTTTGGTTTGTTAGGCAATTTTCTGTCTATTTGATGGCGACATCACAATCTTTTGACTTTCGGTTGTCAAGTGAAATGCTCGACACCATGGACCTTATAAGAACTTTGGACGTCATTTCATGTACAAACACTAATGAACTATCGGGTGTTTGCACTAAGAACAAAAGGAAAAATGCGGAGGACACAGACTTTGAACTGATTTAAAAGTTAAAAAGTTGAAATTAAAATCAATAGTTAGTTTCTTCAGTGGTAATAG